AAAAAAAAAAAATCTATTTACAATACTTATTGTACAAAATTTTGTGACTATAGAAAAACAAAATTGTACTTAAACTCTCTAACCCCTATATTACTACCACCTACACCGAAAACAACCATATTATTTATACTAAGATATAAAGTAAGAAAATAAAAATAACTAACACTCCCAAGGTCCTATTTCGGCACCACTGGCCATAATTTTTATCTTCCCAAGACGTTGGTTTCGGGAAATTTTCACGTCCATCATCGACAAAATCTGGCCACACTTCATAGGAACATTGTGCAACAAGGAAACATGAAACCGTAGCAAGCAGTAATGTTGTTTTTAACCTCAGTAGCATCTTTAAAAGAAATAAAAAGCTTTAATTATGTCAACAATTTAAATAATTGAATTAATAACCGAGCGATGACATTACAACAGTTGTATAATACATTAAGAAAGAAGAAAGAAAAAAGAAAAAACAAATTACATAAATTTTAATCAACATTTTTTGAAAGTCTTAACGAGCAGTAAATTATTTATTTTTGTTGAATTATTGCGCAAATTAGCGTTTTTCATTGTCTTGAATTTTTTGCTCTCTTAGTCTGTTCCAAGAACGTAATTTTACAAAAAGAAAACTATAGTATCTTTGAAAGATAAACTTAAAATATTTTTCTGCAAAATTAAGGTTTTTTTTTGATAATGAAAATAGTTTTTACAAATAAAATTAATTGAACAAAATAAAATTTAAAAATGCTTTAAAGTTCTGTAATCAATAATTTACTGACAAACCAACAAACTAGAAATAATATTTTTTTTTGTTTGATATTGTTATGCACGTCTTAGCAACCTTATCTGCTAGAATATAGGTAATACTCAAGAAAGACACTGAATTTTAAAATCCAGGAAGCCTTACTATAGCACTGTGTAAACAAAGCTAAAGTTTTTTTTCATTTATCAATTTTTAGCTGTCAATTATGATTCTAACAGTTTTTCCAATCATTTTCATATCTGCAAAAAATTCCAATACTGATAAGCACTTGTATAAATTTCAGCTTATGAAGATTGGCTTCAAATGTCGAGATAATTAGAAGATCTTCCGGTTTTAAACTTGTAAGATAATAAGGAAAAAAATTGCCTCAAAATATGTGGCATTGCATATATATGTTCTGTCACATTTACAAAGGCATAATACAGATTACAATATTCAAAAAGATTTCACAGACCGTCGTATTTCGAATAAACATATAGACATACCTTTTAATTCGTTTTTTCAAAAGTTTACACATACATATCTTTAAGTTGTGAACATAAGCTTTTTACAAGTGGTGATATTTTTTTTTTTGATCAACTGCAGTAGTAATTTTTTTCTTACGCAACTTTTTTTTTTTCCGCATAATGAGTTGCAGAAATAGTGAAAAAGCTGCTAAGCAGGTTTTATACACGAAGTCAACTAAAGACAGCAGTTACAGAAAATCAAATATAAACTTGATTTGTAATCTTGCTTAGCAAAAAAAAAATTTTTTTTCATTTTCAAGAGGACATTTGAAAACATATTTTTTGCACTGCATACGTATATACGCATTATGTGATCATATTTGTTATCTGTTGAAAACCACAAACCGATTGTTTTCAAATGTTCAGCTCTTATTGCCAAGTCAAAATAGAGACTTGTAATAGTGCCCCAACTTTCTCCATCAAAAGTTGTTATCAAGCAAAGTTATGCTGATTACCGACCAATTTTTTTTGATTCAACCAACCACACTTTTCTGGAATATACCAGTACCGCTGTCCAACTGTATGCTTAAAATTAACTAACCAAGCAAAGTTTATAACTCGTAGACATTTTTCATTCTATATCAACGTGATCTACAGCAGTCTTTCAAACATTTCGCGCCACCTAAGAATTGATTTAGCGAAAAAATTGAAAAAGGCGCAAAAAAAAACAAGTTACTACAAAATCTAACAATCATTAAATGCATACTCATCAGATTAATTTGTAAAAAGTCTGTCAAAGTTAAAAAGCAAAATTACATATAAATATACAAATATACTACAGAGTTCCATTAACAGAATAGAATTGTTCAAAAAATAAAAGATGTTCAAAGCAAATTAAACCTGAAGAATATATTTATAAGAAATAAATATCATAAATATTTACAAAATAAATACATATGAATTTTGGTAGAGCAAAGTATCCAACCAATAGACCCTGAGCAATAGTCACGTATACAAAATTAGAACCCAATGAACACCGATGAACCTGAATGCTGGTGCTTTTTGGTACATCGCCGAACAAAACTTGTCCTCCTATAACCCAAACAAATTCTACCCAAAAGAAGAGCATTAAAGCAACTTTTTCAGATGAAAACAATTAAAAAAAATATTTCTTTTGAAAAAGAAATATCAACTGTGCAGCATTAAGTGGAATAATTACGTTGTAAATCACGATAATTTTCAACCATAGTATGCAATAACTTTTGCAGGCTCTCTCTCTCTCAAAAAAAAATTCTTTCTTTGCTAAAACCAGAGCTTATTTTCCGGTTGTGTAGAAAAATACATCAAACAAAGAAACAATACTTGGAAACAGCAAGAAAAATGTATTGAGTAGCTTAAAAGCAGAACAAGCAGAAATAAATGTAATAGAATTTTAATCTTTCATTTTTGCTTCTCTTTTCTTACTTTTACAACAACGATAAGACTTAAAAGTCAAGAAGAAAAAACAAAAAAGACGAGAAACTTTTAATGTTGTTGACAATTTCTATTTTAACATTCCTATCCTATTACACAATGTAAAATGACAGTTTTAAAATGTAATGCTAACACTGTTACCGGTTATTAAACGAAAGAGAAATACGCAGGTTGAATAACTACTCATTACTTCACATTATTTCACTTTCCTTGGCCTTTCCCTTTTATCGAAACAACTACAGAACGGTGCAGTTCAATCAACTGCAATACACTGCGCCTTCAATAGTTCAGAAGTGAGCAACTTGCTCCTAACCAAAGTCACTAGACTAAACTGTACATCAAAAAAAAAAAAATTATCTGGATATCAAAAAAAGTATGTTAGTCAGGTAATTTTCATAAAATTACAAGTGACAGTTCTGCTCAAATACCTGTCGTTTAGTTCGATCACTGAATAAAACAATTAGGTTCTCAAAAACATCTTGTAAATTAACTTGTTGCCTCAAAGCTTGGTGCCGACTAATACCCACACACCAAAAATTGATCCACTGTAAACAGTAAAATTAAAGTTTTCGTCAAATCTTTAACCGTCTCACCCTTTAATCCATAATTCTTAAACATTTTTCTTCGACACTCATCTTTCCAGCCTTCTCTTTCCACACTTCTTACCTTCAATTTCTGAACAACAAAAATTTATTAGAGATTATCTAAACGACAATATTTCAAACTTTTTGAAAACGACATACACGTCTTGTCGAAATACAAATAGGTAAAAATCGGAGAAGTAATTAAAAAAGACCATAAAAGCGTTTGGTTCAGAAGAAGACCGATTTAATAAATTAACCTATAAGCATAGAAAAAAATGAACGATTTTCCGAACAGTAAACTTTTCTATGCGCTCGGCGAATTAAATATTATGTAAAAATATCCTTCTTTTGTCTCTTTTTTCTTGCTTGTCTTCATGCTGAGAAAATTTTTTTCTTGCAAAAAAAAGAAAAATAAAAGCGAAGAATAAAATATACCGAAAAAATATAAAAAAGATCGATTTTAATATTACACTTTTTACCACCAAATATTTGCTTAGACACAAAAAACAGTCAGAATACCCGTCAAGCAAAAGCAATTGTAGGATAAAGGAAATTTCAATCACTACCGTTTGTTCTTCGCCAACACTCCTCTTCCTTTTTCTCTTCCCTATCAGTTGGTTTCGTCCCCTTTTTTTCTCAGTAAAATAAATTTAGTTTTTATAAATGATAAACATCAAAACTAAATCAAAAAAATTAGGAGCAGAAACGAAAATCTATTTAATACGTCAAGATGATATCGAAATCCCTCAATGCCTTTTTATAGCACGAAAAAAAAGAACTTTTTTCTACAAGTTTTTTCAGTAAAAAAACAATTTTCTCCAACTATTTTCTTTTAATTTTATTTTCGTTATTTCCGCTTACATTTATCGACGTTCACAAATTTTTAAAATTTTTCATTTCTCAAGATAATATTGTCTTTTCAGAACAAAGAGGGGAGAAACATACATACCACATATCAAAACAAAAGAGGCTATTAAGTAACAATAATAAAACGACTAAACAAAAAACATTTAGAACGAACTAATAAAAAAGTAGCCGTTATTTAGATCTAATTCAAAAATGAAAGCAACAAAAAAAATTTCTATTGTACATTGGTCTCTTTCCCTTGTTTTCGTCTCTGTCATCACAGTCAGCTCATTTACACCCTTCCCGGCTTTCAGTTCTCTTATCTGCCAGTGTTCAGTGATTTTGTTTGAAAATCACATCAGCCCAACGAACACATAAAATATAAAGAAGATCAACGATTTTTGCTTTATATAAACACACCCAAACTTATCTCTACATCATCTTCAAGTACTCTCTTCTGCCTCTTCTTTATTTTCAATATCCCTCTCCTTTTCTAATTTCCACTTTGCACTTCTTACACCGTAATGCTTGACCTAAACCTCGCAGATAACTTATCAACTAACTGCCAAATACTTCAAAAGCATTAATTTTGACAAGTTTCTTCTTATTTCACACACAAAAATAGCATTTAGCCCCAAAACAAACCTTTTTCATTGACAACTTGACAGGTTTAGCAGAATCATTCTCATGCTCCTATTTTTTTATCCCATCCTCTTGTCCCGTCGCCTATTTGTTAATATCCTTATAATTTGAACAATTTCTTCATTATAACAACATTCCGGTATTTCTCCCCAATGTTAATTTGCTGCACGCTGAATTTGAGCAAATTTGGAAAAGAAAACTTGTTTTTTCCGATTCTTTAAAAAAAATTACAGTTTTAGTTTCTTCTTCTTATTTTCCTCAACGCGATAACTTAATGGCATTCACCTTTACGCAATAGATGTTCGAAGCCAATAAAATAGGCTTTTTTTCTCGCTCTTTTCAACAAAAAAAAGAAAGAATAAACGAGTTAAGGATTCGCTTGACAAAGAAAAAAGTTTTAAATTTTGAGAAAGAAATAATAATAATTTAAGTGTTCAAGTTTGCTTTTTCTTTTGTTCTTTTGAAGAGACTTCTTTCTTTCGTTTTTTCTTTTTTTTGGGTGAAATAATCAAACTTTTTAGAGCATATAAAACAGTAGCAGCAGTACCAAAGACACAAATACAGACGAGAAATCCGACAGTGATTGGTGAAATATAGA